AAGACTGCCCAGGGTAATCCCAGGAGAGGCCCAAGATGGGCCCCAGAGCGGGAGCAGGAGGCCCCAAGGCAGTCCAGGACGACCCAGATGATCCCAACGTGGCCCAAGATGATTTCAAGACGGCAAACACACATCCCAAGAGGCCTCCAAGAGGCCCCAAGAGAGCTCCGAGAGACGTCCCGAGAGAACCCGAAGAGGCCCCAACCCTTGATTTTCAATTGTTTTTGTTCAGTGTTTTCCGCTTTCTCGCGTTCTCGAGCTTCCAACGCTCCAAAACTGCCGAAGACGCCCCCAAGACCGCCCCAAGACCGCCGAAAAGGCCCCCAAAAGAGCCCCACGATCGGCCCCAGAGAGCCCGAAAATTGCCCAAGAGGAGCCCCAGACGGCCCAAGAGGCCCCTGGACAGGCCCAAGATGGGCCTCAGAGCGGGAGCGGGAGGCCCCACGGCGCTCGAAAACGGCCCAGATCAATCAGATGGCCCGGGCCTCCCCCCTCCGTCCTTCCTTCCTTCCTTCGCGCCCCCTCCCCTTGCTTTCATTCCCTCCTCTCTCTCCACGTCTTCCATTCACCCGTCAGTTTTCGCGCTCCTCCCTCCTCTCCTGGGACGGCCCCGCCAGAGCGCCAGACAGGCCCCGCCAAAGCGAGCCGGGCATCGCTATACCCTATACTTTCACAAGTTGTTTTGCCCCTCCCACCCCTCAAGGGCGGCCCCGGCAGAACGAGAAGGGTGTTGCTACCCCGTATGCAGTGCCTGTTTTGTTGTTTGCTCCTCCCACCGCACCCGAGGAAGTCCTGTCATAGCGCGCCGGGTGTGGCTATACCATAATTGTCCTCTGGTTTCGTGTTCCTCCCTCTCCTCTTGGGCAAACCCTGCCAGAGCGCCAGGAAAACCCCCGCAAGAGAGAGCAAGGCATCCCTACATCGCACTCTTTCACGCGAGTCTTGCTCCTCCCACCCTTGCAGGGCGGACTCGCCCGAACCAGCGGGGTGTGGCTATACTATACAAGTTATCAGGTTTTGTGTCTCTCCCTTCACCTCCTGAAAAAAAAGGCTTCTCCAGAGCGCCAAGAAGGTACCGCCAGAGGCCCCGTCAGAGGTCCAGGCAGCTTTACACATGGAATTCGTCAGGCAAATCATTGAGCTTCCCCCGCGAGACCGAACCTTCTGATCCCACGGGTGCGATCATCGCAGACATGAGGCTTGGCGTCCAGCACAAAGAAGCTTCCCCACTCGCGTGGACGGACTCGACAACAACTGATTGCAGAGGAGGGCACTGATGACCGGGACATCTGCGCGCGCCATTTGCAAATACCCGGCAGCTGAACGAACGTTGAAAACGGGAAGCCTGGAACACAAGGAACAGGAAAAAATGCAACGCGCTCCCGCGCGCGCGCAACGAGGCCCCGAGCCAACCCAAACATCAGGAGCCGGCGGATGTTTGCGTGATTGGGCATGGGGAGACCGATCAGATGCACAAAAACATTAAGTGTCACGACGGGACAGGGCGGAAGTGAATTTGGAGACAAAAGCGCAGTTTGATAAACCAAACAAAGGCAGCAGCGAGATTGTGAGATACACGGGAACGTGGCGCCCCGCGTTCTGACTGCGCGTTTCTTCGCGTCGATGGCATGGGCCCGAGAACGCTGGAAATCGTCGTCGTGGCCACAGCGGGGCTTACAGCGGCAACCGTGGCTCATCTGCGACTACAACCTAAGCGCGCGTAGCGCGCGCGTGTCTCTAGTATACATATATACATATATAGACATATATATATGTGTATGCGTATACCGGCATCTATAGATGTATCCATCTAACAACATATATGCCAACCGTCAGGATTACCAAAGGAAAAGCCATCGGAGAACATTTAACAACGTGTGTGTATATATATATGTTTTGATCTATATACTGATATATCCGTATATATATATATATATATATTAATATATATATATGTCTTGTTGTCGATCAACCATGGGGACAACCATCGGGGCAACAATCGGGACAACCATCGGAACAACCATGGGGACAACCATTGGGATAACCATCGGGACAACCATCAAGACAACCGTCGGGACAACCATCGGGTTAACCATCGGGACAAACACTGGGATAACCATCGGGACAGCCACCACCATCGGGACAACCGCCAGGACATCCGCGGGGACAACAGGGGGCCAAGCCCCTGCCAACCGGACACCCCAAGACGCAGTGAACATAGATACGGATATTGCCCGCAATATCTGCATAAGCCAGACCAGCGACCAGCACCTGAGCCTGGCGCCAGCTTTGCTCGGAGGTAATCCCCGTTTGGTTTCTCTGGTTCCACGGCCCTTCAGGCCGGAACCGTGCGCGCAGCCATGCATGCTGAGCTGACGTTCCACCACCGCTACCATAGGTAGGACGGGGAAACGGAGGATGGGGACGTCTTCCTCCTCCTCCTCCTTCTTCTCCTCCTCCTCCTCCTCCTCCTCCTCCCCCACCTGCTCGTTTTCCTCCCCCCCAATCATTTCCTTTTATAAGTAATTTGTCCCTGTCGAACCCTGCGGCCAGTTTTTAGGGCGGGCCGGCGTTTCGTTTCAGACTTCCTCACCAGTGGCGATTCTGAAACTGAAAAATTGACCACAGTTTCACTAAAGAAAACCGGGCCGTTTTCAAAATCTGGTTTTCGTCCTAACGCCGCGTACATTTTTTTATAGCAGAAGATTCACGGATTGAGGGCGGCTCCTTGTACAAATGTGGTTATCGCTGTAGCGCCGCGCACATTCGTTACAAAAATTGCAAGGATTCCATGAATTGAGATCGGTTCCTTTTTTTCAAAATGTGGTTCAAACCATAGCGCCGCGCACACTCGTTTAAACATGTGCAAGAGGTTCTTGGATTGAGGGTGGTTCCTTTTCAACATGTGGTTCTCGCCTTAGCGCTGCGCACATTCGTTTACAAACTGTAATGTTTCACGGATATCTATGATCACCGTGCCAGAAATGTTGTTATGAAAGGGTTCTGGATTTCGTGGGCACAACAATTACGTGGATTCGCGATTTTGAAGTTCCAAAAAAGGCATTCTGGCATTATTTCGTATCGTCTCAAGACGCAACAGTCAAGTCGATCCGTGGCGTTGGAATCCCGAGAACAATGCTTATGCATGTTTCCGGGTCTTCAAAAAATTCTTTCAATGGAAATGAACCGTTGTAGGGACCTATGAAGAGGGAGCTTGGAGGGAGGGTTTTTTTCCAACATCGTTGATGGCTCTTGGGTTTACACTGGTCCTCCTCCTGCTCCTCCTCCTCTCCCTCCTCCTCCTCCTCCTCCCCCTCCCTCTCCGACCTGTGGTAGTGGTGGTGGAACATCGGCCCATCAATGCAGGGCCCGGACAGGCTTTGCCGTGCAGCCGCGGGGGAGAGGGAGGGACGCGCAGGAAGACGACGACGAGCGCGCGGGCGAGAGGCCGTGGCTGGCGGCGCGCGGGCGGGCGGGCCGGCAGATCGGCATCAGCAGGCAATTCAGTAGGACCGAGCGGATTTCTGGAATCGGCGTTGGACCCCGGAAGTCCAGCAGTGGCGAAGCGTGCTGGCTTGCTTTCAGGGCCACCGAAGACTGTTCTAGGAACCTTTTGTGGTCTGCGCGAAATGTTCTTTTAGAACGCTTCTGGCCGAGATTGCTGTATCTTAGCGCATGGGGTTATGTTCGAGAAAATGGTTCTGTACTTCGAACGCTGCTGGGTTCTAAGAGCATGTCGTGGTGGGCCTATAGGACTGCCGGGAGGCTCAAGAGAGCGGCGCCTTCCGCGCCGCGGCCGAAGCGCGCGGGTCGAGCGCCGATCCAAGATTTGCGCGGTTGTTCCCCAGGCAATTGTCTTCGGGTATAGCCATAGAGGGGACCCGGCTAGTAGTAGGGCCCCAGAGCCCCGAATTTGGCCAGAGTCACTAAACCAGGTCTGCCGTATTTGCTGTTTTTTTCAGGGTGACGGCAGTTCTGGTTAGTGGAACGGGGCGGGGGGGGGGCGTCCCGTACGCATCACTCAACCAGGTCCCACTAAACCCAGTTTTGCCAACGCCCGATGTCTGTACTGGTGCCAAATATGCCTCGTAAGAAGGCCGGGGGTGCCGTCCCTTGCCCCAGACTCCGTGATCTGATGCTCTCCCGGACGGTTTCCCCGTATGGTCTCCAGGGGTGCACTTCAGGCCCGCGTTCTGAGGGAGCGTGCTTTTGTTTATTTTACCCTCTGGGCCAAAACTCGCGTTTAAGGCCTCCCCCTCCCCCCCTCCCCCCACGCGACGTTCCCCCCCCACTCCTCCAGAGCGCGTCCCCGGCACTGCCGCAGCTGCGTGCGTCCGGCACCACGGCCGTGGTGCTCGACCCACCCCAGCGGCGAGGGGGGGGGGGGGGCTGCGTTAATCGGCCCCCCCCGCGCTCCTTTCCCCCCCCCCTTCACGGAAAGCCTGCTGTAAGATTCCCAGGATGTCTTCTGAGGATCATCGGCCGATGCGTGGCTTTTTATTCACCTCGGGCGAAGAGAACTATGCACATGCACCTGCACCGGTCCTGGCCAGGCGCATCCTTGGCCCCAGGATCGGTGCATATGCCTTCATGGCCAAGGCAGGACGGCGTATGCACTGATCTTGGGCTCAGGATGGGCCTGGCCAGAATCAGTGTATGTGCATAGTTCTCTTTCCTCTACCCTTCTGCCCCCCTTCACGGAAAGCCCGTTGTAAGATTCCCAAGACGACTTCTGAGGATCATCGGCCGATGCGTGGCGGTTCATTCACCGAGCGCGTTCCTTTACTTTCGGATGCAACTCTTGGGAGGTCAAATTCTGATTCAGCCCTGGTCCGAAATCCAGCTTAATCCCGCTTAACCCGGCTTAATCCCGCTTAATCCTGCTTAGCCCGGCTTAATCCTGCTTAGTCCTCGAGGCCCATTCCGGCGTAACAGCTCCCAAATGGGGCTTAACCCCAAATTTTTCCCACGAGAACCTCCCAGTAGTTGCCTCCTACGAGGTCCGCCTGACGCTCGAGATCGACGAGGCGCAGCAGCAGGTGACCGAGACGCTCGTCCACACGGCCGCTCCCCACCCGCCGCCGGGTGCCCCGCCGCCGCAGACGCCCCGGCAGTTGAGCACGATCAGCAGCAGCCTGCGCTTGACGCGGGCTCCTGGCAGAGAGGACCGGATGGCGCAGTGCGCTCAGGGGCAGTGTGCAGTTCAGACATGTCGACAAACAACAGTCAGAAGGGAGAAAAAACGCACAGACACAATTCATCGTCGATCCCCAGGAAACTGCGAAAATATGGGAAGTGGGGGGGGAGACAAAAACCCAGAAAATATGGGGAAATATGGGGAATCCTTTTACTTGTGTGTGTGTGTGTGTTTATTTGTGTGGTCTGGGGCCCCTGTACATTTCGACAAGCAACAGTTTGGGGTCGGAGGGGGCTCGATGTCCTTTGGGTCTCTCCACGGCTGCTTCTTTGGCGCTCCTCGTCCGCGCAGGCGCCGCTGGGTCAAGGAGGGGCTTCGATCCTTGCTTGGCGTTTCTCATGGTAGCAGCCTGACTGCCAGGGGAGGTTAGGCTGAGGGAGAGTGCATGTGTCGAAGAAGAAAACACGACATAAACATAGCCTTTGGGCGCTCCGCGCGCGGATTTCTTGGATCCGCGCTGAGCCCCCCCGGCGGCACCTCCGGCGCCGACACCTCCGGCGCCGCCGCTGTCGCGCTCCGCGCGCCAGGGAGGGGGGTCCGGCGCATATCCAAGAAATCCGCGCGGATCGCCAAAAGTTTATGTGTATAGCGTTTTTTTCTTCTGCGAGGCGGGAATTCATCCATATCCACCGCCTGGAGGGTCAGTTTTCGGAGCCTCGGCAGGCGGTGGATCTGGACATATTCGGGCCCCCAGCGGCCGAAACATATCCATATCCACCGCCCGCTGGGGCACCAGGACGTTGGTTCCCAGGCGGTGGATATGGATAAATCCCCGCCTCGCAACTGTGGCCCCAAACCGCCCATTCCTTGCCCGGGCACGTGCGGGTGCCCCGCCCGGGAGCGTGCCGTGCTGTAGGCGTCGTGCGTGGGCCGGCCCCGCTGCCGCCGAGTTGTTAGAGCCGTGTCGCCGCTTCAGGGTCGATGTCCCGCGCCCTCCTCATCCTCCTTCTCCTCCTCCTCCCACTACTACTACTACTACTACTACTACTACTACTACTACTACTACTACTACTACTACTACTACTACTACTACTACTACTACTACTACTACTACTACTACTACTACTACTACTACTACTACTACTACTACTACTACTACTACTACTACTACTACTACGACTACTACTACTTCTACTACTACTACTACTACTACTACTACTTGCTACTACTACTACTACTACTACTACTACTACTACTACTACTACTACTACTACACTACTACTACTACTACTACTACTACTACTACTACTACTACTACTACAACTACTACTACGACTACTACTACTACTACGACTACTACTACTACTACTACTACTACTACTACTACTACTACTACTACTACTACTACTACTACTACTACTACTACTACTACTACTACTACTACTACTACTACTACTACTACTACTACTACCGCCCCCCCCCCTTTGATTTGACCCCGATACCCCCTTCCTGGGGGACTTCCCCCCCCTCTGCCCCTCCCTCCCTGAGGAGTCCAATCATTCGCTTCATGGGGGGAGGCCGCGGCCCCATGAAGCGAATCCCGCATGCTCGGGGGGCGAAAGTCCAAAAACACAGGAAAAACCAAAAAAAAACAAAAAAAACAAACAAAACAATCCTGGCGAACTTTTCGCCCTCCCCACCCCCTCCGAGGAATTCCTCCGGATTTTTTTTTGTTTTTTGTTTTTTTTTTTTTGTTTGTCCTTGTGTTTTTTTGGGTTTTTCGGCCCTCCACCCTTCCCCCTGGGGAGCGGGCGGCCCCAGGAGCCCCCAAGAGGACCATGGGAGGCACCAGAGAGCCCCCAGAGAGGCATGATGAGAGGGGGGATTCTGTAGCAGTTTTTGGCACTACCAAAGCACCAGGAAGCACCAGCCAACCACTCCAAAGGGCGCCCTTTAGACAGCGATGGTGGCCACCCAGAAGCAGGTGACGCGCCAGAAACGTCAATGGGCCGAGGCCCTTGCACAGGGAAAGCCTTTCACGCCCAAGGGTGCCTGGCTGTTCGACCCCGCCGTCGAGGAGGCCAAGATGAAGGAGAGCCAGCAGAAAACAGGGGGACACGCCACTGGGCACAGCGCGACGAAGGAGAAGGGGAAGGAAAAGGAGAAGAAGACGGGGGTCCAGGAGAAGGAGAAGAACACGGTGAACCAGAAGAACAAGGGGGACCAGGAGAAGGAGAAGAAGACGGGGAACCAGAAGAAGACGGGGGACCAGAAGGAGAAGAAGAGGGAGGCACCGCCTTCTTGGGACAGGGACACGGAGAAGGCGGCGAAGAAGGAGAAACTGACGGAGGGGAAGGGAGACGAGGCGGCGAGCTACGCGGCCAAGAAGGAGGATAGCAACAAACGCAAGGGTGGCACGCCGCACTCTTGGGCGAAGTGGGGCTGGCGGGCCCCGCGCCGCGACTACAACAGGGGCTGGTGCTACTACGGCGACCGGTGCCGCTTTTACCACGGCGGCGCGTACGCCCACGACAAGAAGGAGGAGGAGACGAAGAACAAGGGCGAGCACGGGGAGGGCAAGGACAAGGGGGACAAGGAGAAGGAGGAGGAGACGAAGCACAAGGAGGAGAAGGAGGAGAAGACGAATGACAAGGAGGAGACGAAGGACAAGGGGGAGCAGGAGAGCGGCTACCACGTCCAGCTAGACGGGAGCGCGCTCCAGGAGACGGAGGATGAGCGCGCCTTCGACGAGCGCATCCGCCGCGAGGTGTCCCTGGCGGAGTGGCAGCGCGCCACCGCGAGATCGGGAAAAAGCGTGGTGGTGTCGTCGGCGACGGGGGAGGTTCGCTTCTCCCCGCCGACGCCAGAGGAGGTGCTGGAAGAGAAGAAAAAGTTCAGTGACCTGCAGAAGGCCTTCTTTGTCCAGCAGCGAGGCCTCACAGCGAAGGCGGCGGAGATCGCCGCCGAGCACTCCGTCGCTGTCCAGGACGTAGAGAAGGACTGGGGAGCGAGCCAAAACAGGCGGAGGAGGAGGAGGAGGGGGAGGAGGAGGAGGAGGAGGAGGAGGAGGGGGAGGAGGAGGAGGAAGAGGAGGAGGATGGGGAGTATGAGGAGCAGGATGGGGGGGGGAGCCTGGAGAGGAAAATGATGAAAATCTTGTGCGCAAGAGGGGTGGCGGGGGACCTCGTTGACCCCCCATCCCTCCCCGCGGGGCCACGCACGGGATTCCGAAGGAGGTCGCGAAGATCGAGCGCGCTGCGTCCTGGAGGGCGCAGACGTTCAGTAGCATTCACGAGAAAGCGATGTTGCGGACCTGTCTATGAGGCATGGGCGCGCCTAGTTGTCGACCCGTTGCATTTTCCATGCCCCGCGCGCCCTGGGGATAAACCATATTTTCCAGAATGGTTCAATGACATCAAAACGACAGAAACGCCCGAGAAGAAAGTGACCCTTGCTGGGTTCTCTCGCGGGTCTCTCTTCTGGGTCTTTCTTCTGGGTCCCCTTCTGGGTTCCCTCCTGTCGAACAGGTAACTTTCTCTGCGAGCAAAATAATGCGTTTGATGGGTAAGAAACGCCACGGGGAATAACGACGACGAGCGCGACCAAGTCCGAGCCATGTTTTTTGGCTTGACCTCTTGTTTTTGTCTTGTCTGTGCGTTCGTCCTATCTGCGGGGCTCAAGATGTCGAGCAGGTAACTTTCTCTGCAAGCAAAATACTGCGTTTGATGGGTAAGAAACGCCACAGGGAATAACGACAACACGCGCGATCAAGTCCAAGCCATTTTTTTTTGGCTTGACCTCTTGTTTTAGTCTTGGGTATGCAGTCGTCCTATCTGCGGGGCTCAAGATGTCGAACATGCAACTTTCTCTGCGAGCAAAATAATGCGTTTGATGAGTAAGAAACGCCACAGGGAACAAAGACGACGAGCGCGACCAAGTCCAAGCCATTTTTTTAGTCTTGTCTGTGCGTTCGTCTTATCTGCGGGGCTCAAGATGTCGAACAGGTAACTTTCTCTGCAAGCAAAATAATGCGTTTGATGAGTGAGAAACGCCACAGGGAACAACGACGACGAGCGCGACCAAGTCCAAGCCATTTTTTTTTGGCTTGACCTCTTGTTTTAGTCTTGTCTGTGCGTTCGTCCTATCTGTGCGGGTGTTTTTTGTTTTGTCAACAGAGAGACACAGCAAGGGGACCCAAGAGAGGGACCCAGGAGGGGACCCAGCAGGGGACCCAGCAAAGGGACCCAGCAGGGGACCCAGGAGGGGACCCAGGAGAGGGACCCAGGAGGGGACCCAGCAGGGGACCCAGCAAAGGGACCCAGGAGGGGACCCAGCAGGGGACCCAGCAAAGGGACCCAGCAGGGGACCCAGGAGGGGACCCAGGAGAGGGACCCAGGAGGGGACCCAGCAGGGGACCCAGCAAAGGGACCCAGGAGGGGACCCAGCAGGGGACCCAGCAAAGGGACCCAGCAGGGGACCCAGGAGGGGACCCAGGAGAGGGACCCAGGAGGGGGCCCAGCAGGGGACCCAGCAAAGGGACCCAGGAGGGGACCCAGGAGGGAACCCAGGAAGGGGCCCAAGAAGGAACCCAGGAGGGAAACACAACACCAACCAACACAGTCGCACTGCTACGCCCAGAGAAGCGAACGACACCAGCAACGGCGCAACGTAAGTGTTGACGTCGCGACAGTAAACACGAATCTGCCATATCAAAACATTCTCACTGCGTGTTTCCAGAGGGCATCCTTAAAAAAAGATGCCCCCCCCCGTTGTGGGCGGCTCGAGCTGCCACAGCAACCGACCTCGCCGTGCAACTCCTGTTTGCACTGCTGCAACATGGCCGCCATCAACCCTGCGGTGGTGATGTCAGAGTGCCTGGGGGTGGCCCTCGGGCTCCAGGACTACGCGCCGAGCTTCTCGTTCGGCGAGGCGCTGCAACACATCGAGAACCTGAAGTTGACAGACCACCCGTGCATCGTGTCTGACAAGTTAGACACGCCAGGGCAGTGCGAGATCGGAGACCTACCA